AACCCGATCGACCCGCAACCCGACCAACCCACAACTTGCTCGACCCACAACCCGACCAACCCGCAACCCGACCAACTTGCAGCCCGACCAACCCGCAAACCCGACCACCCGCAACCCGACTAACCCGAACCCGCAGCCCGACTATAATAGAAGGAATTCGATGAAGATAAACCAAAAGTTGACATTTGAATCCTAGTTCACTAAAGTCTGATCATTACATCATCAATTATTAACTTAGTATAATAATATACATCATAAACCTATTAACGCATATAATATCATCAAATATTAATTTAGATACATCATCAACCTAATAGTGCACATAAAATCATTTGGGATTCAGGGTATAGACTATTTAGAGTTTAGATTATATGTTATCGAGTAAAGTTACAATTGAACTCACAACATATTTTTAAAATTTTATAATTTAGTTTAATACAAAAATCATATAAACAATTAACTAACTAAACCGATAATTTCTCTATACATTTATATGAACAATTTCACTTGTTTTTAAAAAATTAAAAAAAATATTTTTAAACTTTTCTCTCGAAATTTTGGGTTCCCCAATACTACTGCCCAAAAATTTGATTCACCCTTTCCCATAAAAAAAATTCCCATAAAGAAAATTGGATTCCCCCCACCCCGCCGATACCCGCCAATAATTCCCCCGTGTAATGTTTCCCCAAAATTTTGTTTCCCCCCACCTTTGAGTATTTGACTTTTGCGTAGTGATTCTTTTTTTTTTTTTTTGACAAGTATTGTGCTAGCTTCATGTAGTTACGATTTACGACTTACTAGTAATCACTAAAAAGTAACGCGATGTGCTGGTCCGTAAAACCCGCAACCCGAACCGCCTGACCCGCAACCCGATTGGCCCGCACCCAATTGGCCCGTAACCCAATTGGCCCACAGCCCGATTGGCCCGCAACCCGATTGACCCGCAACTCGATTGGCCCGTAACCCAAGTCACCCGTAACCCGATGAACCCGCAACCCAATCGACCAGCAACCCGACCAACCCGCAACCCAAATGAACCCAGCCCGAACCCGCCGATTGACACCTCTAAATATGACGGCACCGTACAGTTGCGGCACCATAGAATTCCCGCCCAAACAAACGTCATAAACGAGTCCACGTAAAACAAAACCTCCAAGCTACACATCCTAACAGAGAAAACAAAACAAAAAGAAATGAGCCCCCACCCAAAGTACCGCCAACAGGCCCCAAACCAAACAAAAAAAGAGCCCAACAGAACAAATGGAGTTTTGTACTGTATTCTTGGTCATGGTGAGGCCCTACTACTAACAGTGACTTTTCCAATAATCTATCACCACAATCGTGTACATATATTACTTGGTGGTTTGAATTACTCCGTGTTAAGGCCATATTTGATGAACTTCTCATTCTCTACTAGTTGTGAAACACAGGGTTGAGGGTGGAAGAGGGCATACAAGTTCTTGTCCTATGGCGATTGGATGAGTCCAGACCATGTCTAGAATTGTTTGTAGGAGACATAAGTGACAACTCGGTCACTCAATTTTTTATTTGCAAGATGTGAACATTGAATTAATGACTTTTTTTAAGCATATATAGATATAGGATTCAAACGTATCTCTACGCTGTCATCGATAAGATGAGTAACTCATGCTTTTATTAGGCGCCGCCTTTGTTTCTAAAGAGAGAAAACAATACATCAGACGAGTTCTGCTATCAGATGAAAATACCATGACAACCCTGAGGACGTGCTAACAATCATAGCAAGTATAGTAGCTCAAAACTAGAGGTCATGGGAGATGATGATATCCAGCCAAGATAAAAATAAAACTACAATTTCTTACGTTGACAAAAAGCACTAGAACCACGAGTTAAAAATCATTGGCACTTACTAGAAGTGCCTTCGCAGTACCAAATATCATCCGATTATTCAATGCTTATTAACAACGTCATCTGAACATCCAATCAATGTATCTTTTTAGCATAACTGTGTGTAGGTTTGAACTTATCTGGCACATTAGCTTCAAGCTCAAGGTGGTCAGCGGGTAATTAATGTCAAGTCTGGGCTGGTTAAATTGGGTCTCATGGTGGTTCTATTGGGCCTAACAGCAGATCGAGCGCAGGCCCAGCTCCAGTTCGGGTTCTATAAGGGCATATTCAACGCCACCAACGTGGAGTCCACGGACCGCAGCGTGGTGTGGGCGAAGTACCAGAAAGACACAACCCTCTCGTTTTACCACCACTCACATTTTAAGCTTTACTCACTGTCACTTTGGTCTTTGGCACAACAACTTCAATTGCTGTGGCTGTGGGTCTGAGAAGAAACAAAGTGAAATGATAATGACTTATTTCCAAGAGCAATTTCATTATTGTGTCCATCCATTAATGACAATTACACCAGAATGGAACAATTAGTTGTGCAAGAATCTTCATCTTCAAGACAATAAAAGGCTCTTTTAAACACACATTCAAACTTATCCTTTTAGTTGATAATAACATAAGCAACTCAAACTTTATTAGGCGCTGATTTATTTCTAAAGAAAGAAAGATTGCATCCGACAAGTTCTTCTATCAGATGACAACATCATGACAATTACGAGGGCATACAAACAATCATAGGAGGTGTTACTAAGTCAAACTAGAGCTTCCAGGATGATGGATATCTCCAGAAAAGAATAGAAGAAACAGCTCCTCGCATTGATAGAGAGCACTAGAATCAAGAGGTCGACACTGATTAGAAGTATGTCCGCATGCTAAGTCATTTGTGCTAAGTACCATCCTGTCATTCAATGTTTATCTACTGAAACAATAAATTAATGTCTTTTTTGGGATAACTGTATATAGCTCTAACTTATCCGACTACCATTGACAGCACAAACAACTCTTGCTTTTATCAGGCACCGTTTTACTTTCTACATAAATAAAACAATACATCAGACAAAATTCTACTATCAGATGATAACATACACTACGATACCATAACGACCATGAAAGCACACAAACAATCATAATAAGTTTGCGCCAAGGGCAGTAACTTCACTTACTGTGAGTCCGAAATGAAACAAAGTGAAATGACAAATGTGCTTTTCCTTTCTTCCCAACTGCAATTTCACCATGATAATGACGAAACTGAAACCTCTGCCACCAAAGCACTCATACTCATATTATAGTCCTGCTCACAGCTTTGAGTTCCATGTGCATGTCGGACCCCGTCAAAACCCGAGACTGGTTCGGATTACTCTGTCTTAAGGGTGTATTTGAAGAACTGCTCTTTCACTACCAGTTGGGACACATAGGCCTACAAGTTTGGTCTTCTAGCGGGTTAATCTTGTGCTCGAGTTAAGTTATTTCGATTGGTTTGCATTCTAATTAAGATCACATTGCATAACAGGGGAACGTACTTCTAACCAGGATAATAACCTGAGTTGCTTGTTTTGTTGATAAGCAATTGAACAAGTCCATATAATGTCTGGCTCTATTTGATGGAGCCATTTGTTTGAGCTAAATAGCATATGGTGATTCAAGTTTTATCTACAACATGGGCATTAAATTAACAACTTTAAAGCATATGCATATATATGGTTCAAATTTATCTTTTCGCCGCCATTGACAACATAAGCAACTCATGCTTTTATTAGGCGTCGCCTTTGTTTTTAAAGAGAGAAAACAGTACATCAGACGAGTTCTGCTATCAAATGACAACATCATGACAACCATGAGAGCATGCAGACAATCATAGCAAGTGTACTAATTTCAAAATGAGAGCTCTTAAGAGATGATGATACTCCCAGCTACTGCCAGGAGACTTACAAAACTGCAATTCCTTGCGTTGACAGAAAACACTAGAACCACATGACATCCGGTTATTCCATATTTATCCACAACATATGTGAACATTAAATCCATGTCTCTTTTTAACAAATTTGTATATAAGTTTGAAGTTATATGGCCGCCATTGACAACAACAAACATCTCCCGCATTTATCATAACATTATTGTCCCTCCTAAATACACAAGACAGGTTCTCCTATCCAATGACAACATATACAGAGGATAAAAGCACAACGCGTATAAGAATCAGAACATTAACAATCGCTTGGGCATCAAAGTGAATCGTTTGCCCAGATTCAGCACTTGAAACTGATACTCGGCGGTAAGTGAAGTGTCAGTCTCTACTCTCTGAAACCTCCAAGACTTCGCTGTGATTCAGCTTTACCCTTTGAAACATGGAAAACCCAATTCAGCAGCAGCCATGGGAATCAAACCCAATTCAGCAGCAGCCCAGGAAAATGGTAACCAAAAACAGCATCCCAAATTCGCCCTCCCGGTGGCAGGGGCGGATACACGAGGGTTTAGGACACCCCTAAAATTTGGGAATACGATTATTCAACCCCCGGTAATAGTTTTGTATGGATAAAAAAAATTATAATTAGTGATCCGGGACACACCTACAACGATAATCTTATCCTCAGTAGTAGTTTGTGTATACTTAAAAAAAATAAGCGCTGTGTTATTCAAACTTAGGATATACTATATTTTTTAAACATTGTCCTCCGTTAAGTTGCAACTCATTTGTTGTTCTATTTTAAACACTACATAATAGTAAAAAGTTATTCCTTATCCCCGACTATTTGCAAAACCTAACAATTAAACTAATTACGGGCTACCCTGAATTTGAATTTATTCTATGGTTACACAACAAGTGTTGAAAGAGCCTTTTCAACTTTGAGTTACATCAATAACATGTTAGAAATCCATATGCGATCAGTTCGTGAACTATTGTCTAGTAGGATATACAGATTTGTTTTTGAGAATATAAAAACACGTCGTGGCCTTATGTTAAAATTTGTACTAGTCTGATATTTTTTTATTTATGAATTATTTTTTATTTAAATTTTTTTTAAGAGGATATCCGTGTTAAAAATTTCTAGATCCGCCACTGCCCGGTGGGCACAGAGCACAAGGCCACGAAATTCCCACTCTACAATTTCTCCGCACCACACATGCGGGCCTTCCATCTCTCCTGGCTCTCATTCTTCGCCTGCTTCGTCTCCACTTTCGCCGCGCCTCCTTTACTCCCAATCATCCGTGACAATCTCAACCTCACCGCCGCCGAAATCGGGTACGCCGGTATCGCCTCCGTCACCGGCGCCGTCGTCGCTCGCATCGCAATGGGTGCCGCCTGCGACACGGTGGGGCCCCGGCTCGCCTCCGCTTCCCTCGTCCTGATCATAGCTCCGGCGGTGTTCTTCACTACCACGGTTTCCGCTATGTCTCTTATGCTCGGCTGATCTCCTTCGTCTCGTCGTGGGATGCAAAAAGACCACGCTCACTCAGCTAAGTTCAAGCGCTGAGTCCTTCAAATCAGGTTTTGCTCCCGTCTCTGTCATCAGGCCTCAAATCCGGCTCCGAGTGCAACGTGGTATCATCGTCGCCAATATCGCTGCCATCGTCATCAAACGGTCACGTATAATTGTCGCCTTAAATCCGGATCTTCCAATCATCAGTCTGGCCGTACGTGAGAGACCCCAGCAGCCGATCGGAGTCACAAAATTCGTCGCCCCGTTGCTGGTTTTCCTGTCTTGCAGATCGTCACCAGGTCAGACAAAGAAGCAACCTCTATGTTCATATAGGGAAAGGTGTTTCCGTCGCTGTCGAGGCGTTGTTCGCCACCAAATCTTGTTCGTTGCAAAGAGGCCACCGTCATCATGCCTCAAATCCGGCTCCATGTCCATCGTTAACGCAATAAGCTAAATTCTGGTGCTGTGCGTGTCTCACTCTTAGTCCAGGCACACCTTTCTCAATCTCAAGGTAAGGTTCCGTTCCCTGCGGAGACGTTGTCGTTCATCCTTCAATCAAGAAGCAAGGTCGCATCATTGACATTCGCCGTCTTGACTTTCCGACGTCGAATCCGGAGTCAAGCATCGTCGGCAGCTCCTGAATCCCCGACCAGCCAAGAGTGGGAAAAAATCCCAAGTTACACATGTTTTTAAAAAAAATTCTCAAAATACACACGTTATGAAAATAATTCCCAATCTACGCATGTTTGGGCCATCAACGCTGTCGACGAAGACAGTGATTGCATCACTGCGGTCGACCAAGACAGTGATTGCATCACTGCAGTACACGGCCGCGGTGAAGGCCTGACCTGCGTCGAAACTTTAAACAAACGTAACTTTGTGATCGGTTATCCGATCGTAGCGAAATTTTTTTTGATTCCGCATAATTTTTCGAGATCTTGCAAGCCGCAAATTGCCGTAGGCGGTGTGGTCCCGCCTTCGTCTCGAAAATATGTCGTTTGCTACCCCGAACGAGCCTTTTTTCGATTTCGTCAAACTTTGAACGACCATAACTTTGTGCTCCACAATCCGAAAATCATGAATTTTTTTTTTATTTCGCATAACTTTTTAAGGAATACAATATTTAGTAGGAGAGAATTTTCAAAAAATGAATTATTTATGGATATAAGGGGTTTTGGGAATAACTTTACCTTCCTTTTCAGGAATCCAAGTACATTCCGAAAATATGTCTATGATAAATATTGTAGTCCTTAAAAAGTTATGCGAAATAAAAAAAAATTCATGATTTTCGGATTGTGGAGCACAAAGTTATGGTCGTTCAAAGTTTGACGAAATCGAAAAAAGGCTCGTTCGGGGTAGCAAACGACATATTTTCGAGACGAAGGCGGGACCAAACCGCCTACGGCAATTTGCGGCTTGCAAGATCTCGAAAAATTATGCGGAATCAAAAAAAATTTCGCTACGATCGGATAACCGATCACAAAGTTACGTTTGTTTAAAGTTTCGACGCAGGTCAGGCCTTCACTGCGGCAGTGTACTGCAGTGATGCAATCACTGTCTTCGTCGACCGCAGTGATGCAATCACTGTCTTTGTCGACAGCGGTGATGGCCCAAACATGCGTAGATTGGGAATTATTTTCATAACGTGTGTATTTTGAGAATTTTTTTTAAAAATATGTGTAATTTGGGATTTTTTCCCAATTTTCCAGCCTTGTGTTGATGGTGGAGGAAATTACAGGATTTTTAGTTGGCATCATCGAATTTCGCCACTTCCCTCAGCTTTTGGTGACCATAGTTGGCTGTCATCTCATCTGCCTTGCAGTCGGGATTCGTCTTAAACTTGTGCATTCGGTGTTCTATGCTATCAAGTCTTTTCGTCATTGCCGATGAGTCATCTTCATAGTTGGGCAGTAAGCAATCTTCACCAACATCCCAGTCATGGCATTGAAGACAATTGTGACCAGCAGTGGTCGTATCTTCAAATAGCTAGTGTTGGGGAGAAAGAACAGCTTCTGCCAACAAAATTTTCAAGTCATCAGGTCGAGGCATTCACGATCCATAAAATGGTCGTCCCCTGGCGTTCAAAAGGTTGTACGATCAGAGAAGTCATCGTCCCTTCATCGTCCAGCTGGCATTCACGATCCAAGAAATGGTCGTCCCCTCTTCCAGTTCATTATTGGGCACATGTCAACCATTCATCGCTTTTCAAGCCAGGCATTCACGTTGTTCATGCTCCAGCTTGAGGGGGAGAATAGGATGTCTACATACATCGATCGACTAACTCAGTCATCAGGTCGATCACGATGTACCAAGTGTGTTCAAGTTCAAGAGACGCAGTCAATCGTCTCCATCATCAGGTTGTTCAGAGAGAGAGTCAGTCGTCTCCCATCAACCTCGTCCAAGATGTTATTCATCTCGAGTTTTGTGGTTCAAACCATCATGCTTGTTCTTCACATTTACTTCTTCAAGCTCGACATTCTTGTCATTCATGTCTTCGCTTGAGGGGGAGTGTTGCAGTTACTTAAACCGTGTTAGTATTGGGCCTTGTTGGGCCTCGTCTAATTCGTTGGATTAGGGTTTTAACCCTAAGTTTATCTATATAAGCTTAGCTATCGATTTGTGTGATAGCAAGTCGTCAAGATGTAATACTAATAAGAGATCAACCGTGAGCTCTTATGAGCTCACCGTGGATTAGTCTCGATCAATCAATCGATCGAGGATACCACGTAAAATCTATTGTGTTCTGTGTTCTTTCCTATTTCCGCGTCATCAAATTCTTCAGGGGATGGATTCTGGCTCTGACATATGGATTCTGCTTCGGGGTGGAATTGACGGTGGATAATGTGATTGCCGAGTATTTCTACGACAGATTCAATTTGGACCTCCAAACCGCCGGAATGATTGCGGCGAGCTTTGGATTGGCGAATTTAATTTCCCGACCAGGGGGAGGGCGACTTTCTGATGAGGTGGCGAAGAGGTTTGGGATGAGGGGAAGGCTGTAGACACTATGGCTCGTCCAGACTTTAGGCGGCATTATGTGTGTAACTTTGGGTCGGATCAATTCATTGGGAGGCTCCATTGTTGTTATGATCCTTTTCTCGTTCTTCTGCCAAGCTGCTTGTGGCCTAACCTTTGGAGTCGTGCCCTTTGTCTCCAGAAGGTGGATGATATATTGTACATGTTTAGTAGCGTAACTATTTAGTATGTATGTGCATGTAGGCAGTGACCGATACATGCATGGTTAGGGGTGTCCCGGGGAAATACGATTATTCAATCTACAATAGTAATATGCGTATGAGAAAAACGGGACACCCCTAAAATTTGGAAATACGATTATTCAATCTACAATAGTAATATGCGTATGAGAAAAAAAAATGTTTAAGTGGTAGTGGGACACCTTTAAAATTTGGGAAAATGATTATCCAATCTCCCGTAGTAGTTTGCGTATTGGTATAAATAATATTTAAGTAGTAGTTTATGTGATTTATATTTGGGACATTGCCACTATTAGTTAATATATTTTCAATTATGCTACAACCCATTTGTTATTGTATTTTAGATCCAAATATAATAGTAAAATGTTATTCCTATCTCAAATTATAACCCATAAGGTTATTATTTCATTCATATATTATTATTATGGAAATAGATTTTCTTATTTTTCCATTCTCAAAGTGGGAAAAATACACTATAATCTATATATACTTGTCTTGCAAATCCCAACATATAAATTTAAATATAAAAAAAACTGTATGGATGGCCGCCTATCAAATTGAAAATCAAAAGGAAACAAAAAAAAAAAAAAGCTTATGCCATTGTGAAAAGAAATTCCGCCAGCAAAGAGGTAATAAAAGAAAAACAAATAAAAAAATCATAAAAGTAAAAAATGCTTACATGGCAATTGCAATTGAGACTCGCATCTATGTAATTGGTAATGCAATTGCATTTTCATTGCCACATCAATTTGAAATTAAAAATGAAAGTTTGATGTGGATGCTTTAAGTACCACCCGGCCATTTAATGTTTATCCGCAACACATGTGAAAATTAATTTAATGTATCTTTGTAGCAGAACTATATATGGTTTATAACTTATTCAATCGCCATTGACAACACAAGCCACTCACGCTTTTATCTGGCATGATTTTTCTTTCTACATAAAGAAAACAATACATCAAACAAATTATGCTATCAAATTACAAAATATACTACAATACCAAGACGAACATGAAAGCATACAAACAATTCATAATAAGTTTGTAATAACTCAAAGCTGCTAGAGCTCTAGCTCTAAGAGATACTGACACCCACTCGATACAAAAGATAAGAATCATATTCGACGGTATAACATGCTACTTAATATACGTGCAAATGCAGATCACTAAGGTTTTAACTCGGTTGGCATTTTTCAAAGGAAGAGATGGCAGGAAATTTTTCACAGAACCGGGGAGAACGATAGAGCAAAGCTCCTTACTTTTGCCCTTCCTTAAATCTGTCTTCACTTGTATTTTAGCCATTTTACCCTCTATTTTTACCACCATCAAAGCTCACTTTAAAACTTCACCAAGGTGCATTAACTTCAATTACTGTGGGTCGGAGATGAAACAAAGTGGAAAATGAGCTTTTGCTTCTTTCCAACATCAATTGTATCCAATGGACCTAGTTTTTAACCAATAAAATTTTATAAATATTAAACACATCTCATTTTGTTAATACACGATAAATTTTTAAGAATTACGGTGCCTAAAACACTCGAAAATTTATACTGTACCGTTGTATAAATTGGAATCTTTCCTAAACCATTAATTTCGTCCTTTTTCTTTTCTTACATTTCCTAAGTCTTTTGTCTCTTTCCCTACTTCTCTTTTCCCATGTGAGATGGCAGAAGCCTCTCTTCACTTCACTTCCTTTCCATTAGGGGTGGGCAACGGGAAACGGGTATTTGGGTATACCCATACCCGTCCCGTTTTTTGAGGGTTACGGGTACCCAAA